ATACAACTCCGGGTTGTTATAAACCTGGTCATGGATACACCTCTACGCGGTGACTGGGACAAGTAAGCTAAATTTTTGTTTTTTTAGCTGAAACTAAGTATCCTAAACGGCGTGTATAATTTCAAACCGGCAATATTTAGAAGAAAAAACGTGGACTAAATATAGTGATGTAAATAAAGAAATATGTAGATAATATTTTAGATGTATTGTTTTCGAAATTTTTATTAAATGTTTATTTTATTAAATGTATAAATTTGTATAACTAAAATCTATTAATAAAAATTGTATAACTAAAACCTATTAATAAAAATTAATAAAAAAAAACGTTTGATCAAAGTTTCTTGAAATCGACAATAAATTTTAAAGTGTTTTTTTGTATATTGATGCATTTGCTGACATACATTTGATTCGATTCGACATGACTTAGTTTAATTCTATCATCTAATCTGAATCTCCGATCTCATAGAAATATTTATAAGTCTCGCTATAAATTTTGACAGCTTAGTTCAATGATGGTTTTTGGACTTGTTCAAAACAAAACCTTATTGACTTTGGACAATTTTTGGGCTAGTCCATATTAGTTCGAACTGTCCAATATTTTCTTATTATAAAAATTGGTATGAAGTAGCAACAGTAACTTTTGTTTTTGGTTCACATTTTGCCGACATCACACTAAGTGACAATTTACTAAAAATATATACCAGCGACTAATAAAACGCTAATCCTAACCCTCTGTGATGTCGATTGACGGTGAAGTAAACGGCACCATTTGTATAATTGTCCATGTAATTATATATATGCAAATGATATCATTGATTTAAACTACGCCTTTTCTTGTTTGTATTATTTGGGTATATCGATACAGTCGTCTATGAATACAATGAAAGTTTTGGGTCTATTAACAAAATTTTTTTAAATTTTGTTGGATGTTTTTTTTTACCTGTACCATAATATTTCAATAAATATTAGGCCATGAAAGTTAGTATTTCGTTTCGCAAAAAATTTTATAAAAATATCAATTTCGATATCGAATCATCATCCGTGACAACAATTTTGATTGGTTGAAATAAACGATATTAAACATAAACGATTAAAGCATGTTTCACTCAAACTCAAACTCTTCTTTAAACGTTACAACTCTGAGAATTGGCAAGAAAGGATTTAAAGAATGTGCCTGATTCTGTATGCATTCTTTTACCTGTGTAAAACATTAATGCTTAACGCTGTTCGGTAGAAAAGTTCAACCATAATTCAGTATAAAATCATTCCTTTTCTACTGAACCACGTTCGTGTAAATCAAAAAGTAAAAGGCAATAAGTCCATAATTTATTACGTGTAGGTGAGGGGGGAAAAATGCCTAGTTTTGAATCCCAACATAAGTGGACCTTTGAGTCTTATTGCAGAATTTTCACTTTTGAGGGTATTTATAAATTGATTTTGATCAGAATCAATGAATTAGAGCAGTGAATGAAATAACGATGCGTGATTTAACTATTTATCTAAGGAACATGGTGTTAAAAAAGTCCATTATCTTCAACAAGGGCACTTGAAATCAAATTCGAAGCTTGAGTTTTATTTGCAGACCACAAATACTTTATATGATACTTTGACCGCTTTCCAGAACACATCCAGCATCATCAAAATGAATACGTAGAGAATCCCAATGCTGAAAAGTATGAATATACACTCTTTTTGTTCCACGTCGAACAATGATCTGTCAAAAAGTTTCAGAAGCTGAGATCTTTGGTGATATCCTTAATATTATGAATTTTATAAATTTTGATGTATTATCGGTTCAAAATGTATCCCTGACTAATGATTTTACAGATCACAATTAACGAGTATCACCTAGATCTAATAACTTTTGAAGATAATTTATTACCCTTGGAATTAGATAACGCGTTTAAAGAGCTTTATTTGGTATCCCTTGTTTTAACTCTAATCAATTTTAACTTGGCTAATGTCAGTCAAATTTAATAATTATTTTTACAAGGAAATAAAAAAGATGGTGATTATACTTCAATTTATTACGTGGCGAGAGCGTTCATGAAATTACAGACATCTTTTGTCATATTTCCAAGAATAATAGGCAAGGGAGATTATGCTAAGGTTTGAATTATTATATATGAATCTAGCTATTGATCTACTAAATAGTTACTTATAAATATTCTCTTTGATTTAGCATCTTGCTGATATACTCATTCGTATGCGTCATGAGGTTGCTGTAGATGATCCATCATCTTCATTATCGATCTCTCAAAGTGTAGATTCACTTATCATCATCGATAGATCGATTGACCTCATAACAACTTTATGTATTCAATTGACTATGAAGGATTGATAGACGAAATATTTGATATCAAAGCTTCACATGTGGAAGTGGATTCTTCGATCGTGGAACCTGCGCAAGCAACTACAGTAACATCTACAACTACTAGCACTCATTCTCAGTCACAACCACCCATTCAACCTCAGTCAAAAAATTGCTCTCAATTCTGACGATATTATTTGCCAAATTAAGAGAGATAAATTTTGCAGTAGTGGGAGGTGTTCTTAACAGAGTTGCTAAAAGAATAAACGAATATTATGAGGTTTATTTTATGTTTATGTATTTTTAAGTTATCAATTAATGAACTTTTTTATAACAATTATATGTATTCATTTTGTATATTTATAGGAAAGTCATAAAGCTAAAACTGTAGTACAAATTCGTGAATTCACCAACAAATTGGGAAGCCTACAATTAGAACATCAATCTTTAAAAATTTGTATCCTTTTTTTACGAGTTTAGTATTTAAATTTTCGTATACTTCTTTATAATGTTTTCCTTAACAAATAACCAGATACTGGTATAGCTGAAGAGATAATGGCACACACTGTTACATCAGAATTCAACAAATCCCTATAGGTGCAACAAAGTATTTATATATTTATTTAATTCACGTTCCTTATTTTACAATTGATTTTAGGATTTTAATGATTTTAATTGCCATTATTTTTATAGATTTAGTAGCTGGTATAGATGTTAACATACAAAATGAACACATAGAGGAAATGATCAATCGACAGGTTCCACTTACTCAAGTTTTACGATTATTATGTCTACAAAGTCTTGTAAATGGTAGATTGAAGCAAAAGAGTATCGAATTTTTCAAAAAATAAATACTACAGGTATAAGAGACTATTGTCAAAAATATCTTACATTTTTAATCATTAAATAAATGACAGTTATTATCAATGTACTAATATAAACATACAGGTTCGAATACCTTCAAACGTTATTAAATCTTGCACGTCTTAACATGTTCTCTAAACAATCGTCAATATGCTTCTATTCTTAAAACTTTGCGATTAATTGTGGATGAAGTTGAAGAACATAATCCTCAGGATATATCATATGTATATTCTGGATATGCTCCTTTAAGCGTACGTTTGATAAAATGCGCGACGACCAAGAGTGGATCATCTTCGACTTGTAATGGATGGAAAGGATATGAAGAGGTGTTGAGAATGTTGTCAGATAAAAACTTTCGATGAAGTACAGAGGCAAGAGGAAGGAGCCATATGTCCCAAAAGTAAGTACACACCATATGGGGATGCAGGGTATGGGACTATATATTAGATAATACGCTTTTTAGCACAACAAAATGATGGTATAATTTTTACGTTACGTTCTTTCTCATTGTTCACCAGACTTCTACAAATAAGATCAATGATTTGAGTTTTATTGCTGTAATCTTAATAAGGTCAACAATTAAATATAAAGCTCTATAAAACAAGTTTAAGTGCATATATAAATTTGAATAAAAGAAATTTCTAAAGGAAATTCTAGTTGTAAAGTATAAGCATTACATGTAATAACAGCATTATAAAAAATTTTAGTTGTATAAGAATTACATATGTAAGTTTTCAAAAAAAGGGTAGCATCAATATTTTTGGCATCTCTTAGTTAAGATAGTATCAATATTTTTATATCTAACTTGTAAAGTATTTGTTTAAGAGAATAATTAACAAATTATGCAAATAAGTTCTACTAAAATTTAAGAAACAGAATTAAAAAAGTAATTGAAATAATTAAAATTAAAATAGTAAAAGAAGTAGTAAACATAAGAATAATTTGTAATAAAGGATTGATTTTATCAAGTTTTTTTTTAATATTAATGGTGAGGTCATGCTTCTATCTTTATTGAATATTTATTTGAAATTTTTACATAAAGCATAAATTTATTTTTTTAAAAATATTATAAAAAGAGTAGAAGCTCAAACTAGTTTATCTGTGACCTAAACCAATAGGAATGGTCAAGACTTATCTAGATTTGGGTATTTGTGATTATATATAAAAGGTTAGTTTGATATTTGATCTATTGTATATACTAGAAGTTAATTTTAGAGTGAATTGAATTAGAAACAAAAGATTGAAATAAATGTAAAGTAAGATTAAAGGGTGAATTGAAAGTAGAAAATGAGTTATTAATTTTGAAATACAGTAAAGAATCTAAATTTTATAATATATTTGTTGATTAAGATGAAGTAAAAATTTAATAACAAGTTTTATAGCTATTTTTTTAGATGATAGATTTGAGATAATAGTGATAATTTTATTTGATACTAAGTTTGATAAGATTGAAAAAACTGATGGTAGGTCTACTGTATTGTGTGTAGTCATACAATACAGTTGTCAATTTGGCAATGTAGTTTAGTTATAATTTTAGAAGTGGTATCAAGTGAATTTGTGTTTAAAATATATTGTAATAAACTGTCAATAAGGTTGTATAGCAGTTGATTAGATGGATATATTATCCAATGAAGATGAGAACTGGTTTCATAACATTAGTAACAAGTTGATGGATATGAGTAATATCATTTGTGTAAAATGTGTAAAGTAAAAAGATCATCAAGTAGAATTTTAATTCTAAAAAATTTAAGAGTAGAAGATTGAAAGCTATATAAAAAGTTTGAAATTTTTTGATTATTATTAATATATAACCAAGTGATTTATCAATTAATTTGATTAAAGATTTTGTTTTATTTTTAAAACCAGTTTTATGTAATCTATAATGTATAAATATGTGCATAATAGATTGTATAAATACTGCAATGAATAGGTAATTCTAAAAAGAAATTTTTAAGATTTAGAGTATAAGATAGGTTATAAATATTGTAAGACATAAAATTTAGATATAGTAGATTATAATGATTTCATGCTAATTGGTCAACAAGGTTATTATATATGTTGTTTTGGTATACAGTTATTTTGTGAAAAATAATTTGAATTTTTATGAATTAACAAAGTTGATTAGTAAGTTTCATAGTAAAAAGTATAGTGTATGTGTATAGAATAAAGTTATAGAAAAGTTTAAAATGTTTTAATATTTAGAAATTACAGATTAAGAATTTGTATATATGTTTATAATATTATTTCTAAAGGCAGTAATAAGAGCAGATAGGACAGTAATAAGTTCAACTTTAAATAAACAAGATTATAGTTTTGTTTAAACTTAAAATATATATAGTATAGAGTTATTAGAAATTTAGATCTATTCAATATTTATAAAGCATTATAAAGTATTTAAATCAATAATAAAGCCATTTATATAAAAGTGAAGTTCTGATAAGTTAGTATTATAGTTAGCTATTTATTAAAGATTATGTGTAAGTAAACTAAGTTCAAAGATCTTATTAAGTTTAAAAGCATCTTTAATATTAATAAATAAAAATATTATAAAATACTAATAAATTTAGTTTAATATTTAAAACAGAGAATTTCTAATTTTCACTGGGAGGGGGAGGGAAAATCACCGCCTAATCATATGACTTAAATGTTATACAACATTTGCTATATTTTTAACCTGTGATAAACAAACTGTGATTTATACATTGTATAACTACAGTCAGACCCTCTAAGTGCACGTCCTATGAAACACTTCCCTAAATGCACATCTTCTCTTGGGCCCAACTAATATTACATCTATATATTTTTACCTCCCTAAATGCAATACCTCTCTAAGTGCATGTTTGACCAAATTTTTATATATGGTCTCGTCACATTGCATTTAGGGAGGTCTGACTGTATAATGTAGATGCAAATTTTGTTCTGTAAATAAATAAGATGTACACGTATATACGTACGTACATATGTATATCGTATGCAACATAATTAATAAATGGCCAAATTCAAAACATGCATAACTCAACAAATACAATGGTCAAATTCAAAACATGCATAACTCAACAAATACAAAAAAACACTTTGTAACCTTTAAATTTTGCATATAAAATTACCTTTTATAAATCAAACCATAACTTGATATATATGTAGCAAACCCTAACCTAACATAATAAACACTAATAATCTATAATGCTATGCCTATAGATAGACTTACTCATATTTCTTTACTAATACATAAAAATCAGGGTTGATCTCTTAACAAATAAACTTGGAAAATATATACCCATTATAACATCGCTAAAAAATAGCACTCATACAAATTATTTATTATCATTCTTTCTAAAATTACTAAATGCACAAAAATCCAGCATTGATATAAAATACTTATATACGCACCAAGCCTGAATCATTTAATTTAGTAATTACATACATAGCTATGCACAAAAAGCAAACAAATAGTATGTACATATGTACATTCAAAATTAACAATGACAAAGCATATCAAACTAAGCAAACAGACAGCAGTTTTTTTCAATTAACAATGCAGATATCATATGATACAATACATAGATCTATAGTGATAAATCAAACTATACTATATATAAAACTCTCATTTTTGCATGTTGCCCTATTATGTTTCTATTAACCCTGATTAATTTTGCATGTTGCCCTATTGTGTCTCTTATTTTCACAATTTTGACATGTTTTCCTATTGTCTTTGATTTCATATTCATTAGTAATTTCTGAAGTTTGTGGATGTCGCATCTTTTTAGCATGTTGATCTTGAACTTCAACATTGCTTTTTGCTTGTCCAGATGGATGTCCCTTTCTTGTACTAACTACAGAGTTCTTAATATTGCATTTAATTTTATCCATTATTGTATCAGGTTCTTGGTTTTCTTGTTTATCCAAGATAAATCCATGACAAATACCTATCAATTCATCATATAAATCAGTTGCGATTGCTATATCAAGTACTTTTCTCATAATGCCTTGAGCTCTTTCATACTTTTGTCATATATTATTGACTTCTCTCAATGTTTGACTATAAACTTCAGTCTTTTGAATTTGCTTTATGTGATTAAATTTGCATATCAGATATTCAACATCATATAGTACATGGGTTTCATCTAAATTAGCACATATTGTAATTGGGGACTGCTTCCAAATATCATCAATGAACTTGTCTTTATACTATCATGCTACAATAAGTCCAATATGCTATTTAGCCTGAGGAGAACAATGTAAAACCTTATAAAAATGTCGGCATATGTATCCATGAGTTATGATAATATTGCATATGCATCAATAAGACCCATCTGCTAACAATATAACATAGTTGTTTTTTGATCCACAAGATATAACTACTCTCCAAATTTCTATAACTTGTTCTTGTCTAACCATTGATATAATGTTGGCAAGACATATTTTTATGATATCGTAATTATCTTTCTGTGCTCCCTCAATATTGTTAATATTTACTTGTTCCTTAAACAAGATAAAATATTTTAGTACAGAATTGCAATAAATTGCTCATTTTGAATTTTTTACATGGTTTAAAATAGAATCGTCAACAATACCATTCTTTAATAAGAAAATAAAATTATTGTTAAAATTTATAAACCATGAGACTAATACTTTACCTCTACAATTAAATCAACAACCATGCTATCTATTCGAAAGAAGTTATAGTAAAAACATTCCTGTATTTGTTTATATACAACAAACACTATAGCTGGTAAAAGAGATCGTGAAACAACTGTCTCAATAGAATTAAAATAGGTTTTTGAGATAGTTGGAAGACCGATCATAGAGATTTGTTCTTTATACTCCTCGACTCTCACATATTCGGCTTCTTTATCAAGTAAATCTTGAATTTCTTTTGTCAATTCCAGAAGTGATGAACTTGACCAAACACAATCATGGATTTTACAATTAAAGCTTTCAACCCGTTGAGTGCTATTTGCCCTGGCCATGAATTGATTATTTGTATAAAAGATAGCTCATTTATGTTTAAACAGATCCAATTGTTGCTTATATAACTACTGATTGATGGATATTCCACTTTTAAACTTTCTTATTGACTTTCAAAAACACTTGAAACTAAGATGTTCCTACACTTAAAAAAAGCCTCACGAAACTCCTTGAATTTTATCGAACTCAGCTTATTTCTAAGATTTTTCTTTAAATTAAGATCAAGGTGGAATGTACATAAGCAATAAATAGAATCTGAAAATTCCAAGTTTATTGTGCTAATCATTGCTGGATTAGAATCAGTAAATATGACCTTTGGTGTTAGACTTCTCATACATTTTTTAATCATTTGTAATGCCCAAGAGAAACTATTTTCTGTCTTATCTTCAAGTAATGTAGTTGCAACAAGTTGTGTTTGATTACAATTGTTGACAATGACAAAGAAACAAGCCACTATATTATACTTATTAGTACAAGACGTTGTATCAAAAAAAAAAACATCATGATAATGGGTCTATAAAATTTGCTGTTCAGGCGATAGCCATACTAATCCACACAAATGACACTTATTTTTTTCAAATTTCGCCTCTACAAACCAATGTGAATCCTTAGCTCATCTTGAATATAACTGTTTCATAAGATCTGCCACGTCAAATTCAACTCGTGTTACTAATTTTTTTTTGCTACTTAAATTGCATTATAAAGAGCCTTTTAATAAACCTTTCTTCTAGGAAATTTTTCTTTTAAAAAACGTCCAATGCTTTGTGCACTAGTTACACTATGATGTACACAAAATTCAATAAATTCAACCATGTCATTACCAAGCTTACGATATCTAGCAATATTGGTTGCAGGTGAAGAAACCAACAGATGATTATGTTTATCCATGACTGTGGTAAAAGAAATCATTGATGTTCTCTTTGAGAAGTTCACATTAACTTTCCATTCATATTCTGTTGTCTTAGATCATTGATTTCTTTGATTATTTGGATCCAACACTTTCTTCACCTGATACTTGCCTGTGCAACTGCACTTCCAACAAACTCTACTTAAAATTTTATTGCTATTTATTATTTGAGATTCACTTCGTCTTTTCCGGATACTAAAACCTTTCTCTAATCTATATACATTTAGAAAACTTTCAACATTGTTCCAACTATCAAAAGACTGCCCTACAGTTGTTAAAATAAAAGCCACCAAAAAAAAGATCGAAAAAGAAAAAATGCCAAAAAAAAACTACCAAAAAGGAAGAATCGCCTTCAAAAAAAGAATAATCCAAAAAAAGAGATGTCAGAAAAAAAAAGCCGCCAGAAAAGAACCACCAGAAAGAAACTGCCATGCCAAAAAAGAACCGCCAAAAAGAAGGATCGCCCAAAAAAAAGAATTGCCCAAAAAAAGAGCCATCAGAAAAAAAAAAGCTGCCAGAAAAGAACTACCAGAAAGAAACCGCCATGCCAAAAAAGAACTGTCAAAAAGAAGGATCGCCCCAAAAAAAGAATCGCCCAAAAAAAGAGCTGTCAGAAAAAAAAAGCCATCTGAAAAGAATCACCAGAAAGGAACTGCCGAAAAAAAAGAACCACCGAAAAGAACTGCAAAAATAAAGATTTAACCAAAGAATTGTAAATGAGAAACTTCAATATAGCTTTAGACAGAATGTTTATCTAAGGTTATTTTAAGTGAAGAAATGTCTGATTCTTCATCCGAAGAGTCTGTGTCATATATGAGTTGGTGATCTATATTATCATTTTCACTTATTGCTTCATCAAATAGTTCGTTGGACCCTTCGTTAATTGTGATGTTAATAGATTTAGTATCATTGAATAATTCCATAACTAAAAATATGTAGACAATAGAAGTTAATGTAATGATAATAAAATATGTAACTATAAATCTGCTTAAAGAATGTTTCACTTGTATACACTTTGATTTTCTTACATTCCTGTCTTCACTTTTAATATACGCGTTACTTTGCTTTGACTGTTTGACTATGTTCTATATGTTTAATGATAAATCGATGAACAAAAAGAAATAAAATCATGTGCAAACCGAACCCCTATTTATTTGTATAAATTAAATCTCGATCATTTACAGCTGTCAAAATAAACTTGCATCTGTCAGGGGTATACATAAAAATAAAACTATATAATGATCATTTATATGTAACCGGAGATTTCCCCTCTGGTTAACCTTAGTTATTTTCTATATAATATTATCAATTTTAAACTTAATTATCTAAAAGTTTTTAAAACAAAAATCTTTTTTAATAAGCTATTAATATATTTATTATTTCATACTATTTATTTAAAATAATACACAAATATTATTTGTTTTTATTACAACTTATCTAATTCTTATTTCTACTAATATATTTATATTAATTTTTTATTTAATTAAATACAAAATTCTTCATTATTTTGTTCTTAATTCTTTATATATATTGCTTAGTATATTCTATTCTAATCTTATTTTTAAAAAAACTTATTTTAAAATTTTTTATATTAACAATTCAAAATTTTAATATTCTATACAAAACTGCTTTTCAAATTATTGTCATTTTTTTAATATTAACAGTAAGGCTATGCTTTTATCTTTATTAAAACTTGTAAAAATTTTACAAGTAGAATATACAAAAAAATTTATATTTGAATTTTATATCTATAAGATATTAAAATTAGAGACACAAATAAGTTATCTATGACCTAAACCTATCAGAGTAGCCAAGACTCATTTAGATTTCAGAATTTGTAATTAAAATGAGAATGTTCATTTGGTATTTGATTCATTTAGAATACTATGTTTTAATTTTAAGACTAGCTATTAAGTGTAATACATTTTGTGTCAGTGAGTTTTGAAAAGTATAAGATGTTTAAATTAGCTACTAGGTTGAGGCCTAGAAGTATAGTATAGTATTTAGATTTGGGTATAAATTTGTTAGTTAAGATAAAGCAAAAGTTTAATTAAAAGTATAGTAGCAGTTTTAATAGGTAAAGTAATATCTTTAATTGAATTTATTAATTTTTTTTTTTTTTTTTTTTGGTATTAAGATGACCTCTTTGGTCTTTTGACTTTTATTAATCACTTGTCGGCATTGTGGTTCAATGAACCACTACAGGAGAGCGTAC